GCATTTTGCTCATGAATCTGCAGTCTGGAGGGATCCCTCATCTCTGCTCCACACTGTCCAAGGCTTCAGCTAGAATCATTGAAGGCGCATTTGCTTTCCTGTTTGGCAGTTGATGCTGGCCCCGGGAGGGCCTCTGTTCCTCTTCCTGTCGTCTCTCCGCTTGGGCCAGGTTGGGCTCCCAAGGAGCTTAGAAGATGGGTTCCAAAGGCACATGTCCTGAGAGGGAGACAGGCAGAAGCCACGTCGCCGTGTGTGACCCAGCCTCATAAGCCATGCAGGGTCACTCTCAGCACGTTCCATTTGCTGATGCCACTGCAAAGTCTTGATCAGGCTCAAAGAAAGGGGAAACGGACTCCGACTTTTCATGGGAGAGCACAAGGTTCTGGAGGAGCACGTGGGACAGCAAATATTGCTGAGATCCTCGGTGGGAAACGCAAGCCGCTCCAGCAGCCTCGGAACTTGGTAGATGTGCTGACTCTCAGACCCATTCCAGGCCAACCAAAGCAGAGCCTGAGCATAAGAAGAGTTGCAGCTGCTTCCTTTGCAAATTAGGTTTGAGGAGCACGGTTCTAAATCACTAATTTGACACTGTTTTTGCGCAGGTGGAGCAGGGAAACAGTAGTTACATTTAGAGAGCTCCTTCTGGCTGCTCTCTAGGGTTGGATTAGAGGGCTTAAGAGTGGTGTTCCAGTAGAAAGAACCAGAAAAAAAAAAGAGGAATTGAACATTATCAAAATTTCAAGACTGCGTGCATAAAGAAACACTATTGAAAATAGATGGCCAGGCCGGGAGTGGTGGCTCATGCCTGTAATCCCGGCACTTTGGGAGGCTGAGGCCGGTGGATGGCTAGGTCAGGAGTTTGAGACCAGCCTGGTCAGCATGGCAAAACCCTGTCTCTACTAATACGAAAATTAGCTGGGTGTGGTGGGGCTCACCTATAATCCCAGCTACTCATGAGGCTGAGACAGGAGAATCACTTGAACCTGAGAGGTGGAGGATAGAGCCACAGTGAGCCAAGATTGCGCCACTGCACTCCAGGGAGACTCAGTCTTAAAAAAAAAAAAAAGAAAATAGATGGCCAGGTGACCAAGACTGACAGATCGCTTTGAACCAAGGAGTTTGAGACCAGCCTGGGCAACATGGCAAAACCCCGGCTCTACTAAAATATACAAAATTAGCTGAGTGTGGTAGCATGTGCCTGTAACCTCAGCTACTCGGGAGGCTGAAGTGGGAGGACTGCTTGAGCCCAGGAGGTCAAGATGCTCAACATTTGCCTTAGTAAGGGTTCTCCAGGAAAACAGAATAAATTATATATATATATATGTGTGTGTATATATATATATATATATATATATAATTATACATATATTTTAATTATATATAAAACAATAAATTATATACCTAAATTATATATATAATTATATATAAATATATAGGCATATATATAATTATACATATAATTAAATTATATGTACAATTTAAGTACATAATTTATTATATATATAAATTTAATAAATAATAGTATAATACACATAATATATAATGCATATATACATATAATACAATATATAATACATATATAATATTATTTATAATAAATTATATATACCTAAATTATACATATAATTAAATTATATGTATAATTTGGGTATATAGATATAAAATTTACTCTGTTTTTCTAGAGAACCCAAATTAGGTATATATATAAATTGGCTCAGGTAATTATGGAAGCTGAGACGTGCCAGGATCTGCCATTTGCAAGCTGGAAATCAGGAAAGCCGGTGGTGTATTCGGTCCGAGTTTGAAGGCTTCATAACCAGGAGTGGGAGAAGACCGATGTCCAAACAGAAGCAAATTCGCTCTTGTTTCTTTTCTTTGTTTTGAGACAGAGGCTCGCTCTGTCGCCCAGGCTGGAGTGCAGTGGCGCGATCTGGGCCCACTGCAGCCTCTGCCTCCCGGGTTGAAGCGATTCTCCTGCCTTAGCCTCTCTAGTAGCTGCGATTACAGGCGCGCGCCACATTGGCTAATTTTTTTGTATTTTTTAGTAGAGAGGAGGTTTCACCATCTTGTCCAGGCTGGTCTCAAACTCCTGGCCTCAAGTGATCCACCCGCCTCGGCCTCCCAAATTGCTGGAATTACTGGCATGAGCCACTGCGCCTGGCCAGCTCATGGTGCGGCTTCGTTGTGCTTCTATTGTGCTCCCACCTGCTGTTATGCCCTGTGTCCACCAGGTGGCGCCAACACACACCGTTGCAGCCCCTCCAGGCAAGGTAGAGACTGGACAGAGAAGGTTGGGACCGGACGGTGAGGTCCTTTGAGGAAGCAGGTCCTTAGAGAGGGTGTTGTTGAGACACGCTGTTCCCACACAGGGGTCTCCTGTTGGCGGAGAATCTCCAAATTCTGGGGAGCAGGAGACAGTGTTATGGGCTGAATAATCACTCCTAAAGAAACCCATGTCACAATCCCTGGAACCTGCAAACGGTAACTTACGGCAAAAGGACTTTGCAGATGGGATGAAGTTAAGAATCTTGAGATGGGAGAGACTCTCCTGGGTTATGTGGGTGGCCCTCAATGGAATCCCAAGTGTGCTTGCAAGAAAGAGACGGAGTTCTAAACACAGAGGAGGAGGTGAGGTCGTGGGAACAGAAGCACGAGGGTGCGTGATGTCAGGAAGGGGCTGGAGCCAGGGACGCTGCAGCCTCTAGAAGGTGGGGAAGCAGCACGGATGCTCCCCCGAGGCCTCCAGCTCACACAGCCCTGCCGGCACCTTGAGTTGACACGTCTGACTCCAAAGCCATAAGGACATCAATTTATGTGAATTTAAGTGACAAATTTGGGGCCACTTGTAGCAACAGCTGTGAGAAACTCCTACAGGCAGGAACGAGGCACAGAAGCAATAGTAATTCTTTCTTTCTTTCTTTTCTTTTTCTTTCTTCTTTCTTTTTTTTTTTTTTTT